TTTGATCGGAGAACACTGGCTTCCTAGTTACTTATGTATTTATAAATAAATATAAATATAAATTAAATATAAATATGTCCTTGTTTAAAATGTGCAGATGCTATTGTTTTGGTTGATTTTTACTTTGTTACACGTAAATATATAAAAATATGATTTCAGGTTATCATTCTGGTCATTGTACAAGATATACCTATGTAAAATCCTACATAAGGATTTAAGATTTGTAGGGTTGGGGGTAAAGGGTTGACTATAAAGAAACAGCACAAGGGATTGTTGGGGGTGATGGAACTGTGCCGTATCTTGACTGGGGTGATGTTTCCACAACTCTGCATTTGTCAAAACTATAGCACTCTACACCCCAAAGAATTTTACTATATGTAAATGTAAACGTAAACAAAAATTCTAAATTGCTTACATGATAGTTACTACTTCAAAGAGTATTATTTAAAATAAAATTTGGGAGACACCTGGGTATCTAAGCGTCGGTTAAGTGTCCGACTTCGGCTCAGGTCATACTCTCATGGTTCCTGGGTTTAGGCCTTGTGTTGGGCTCTGTGCTAACAGCTCAGAGCCTGGAGCCTACTTCGGATTCTGTGTCTCCCCCTCTCTCTCTGCCCCACTCACGCTCTCTCTCTCTCTCTCTCTCTCTCTCTTAGAAAACATTAAAAAAATTTAACATTTAAAATAAATTTGACTTGTCACTTTATGTTTAAACCATTTACACACACACACACACACACGCACGCAAGTTCCCTGTATAGAACTTCCAGACAAAGTTATTTATTTGCTTGTAATCTTACTCCAGGGGAGTTCAGTTGACTTTCCCAAGGTACAATGGGAGGTGGCTATGCAACCCTTTTTGCCTGCAGTGCCTCAAATTTCTACTCGTTCATTAAGAGAATTCTCCAGAGACAGATGTATTACAGCACTTTGAGAACAATATTCACACCCACTGCTAAAGAGTAAAAAGAGATCGCTGAAGGTTCAGCTCCGTGAAACAATTTAGTGGCTCAATGTGTTACTTAGGAACTAAATCCACGCAGGTACTTGGAAAGAAGCAATGAAGAATGGTGACAAATACCTCCCAGGGTATATGGGTATGAAGACTTATGCTCAAGTCTCCTCCGGCTTGGCTTCCGTGCACAACTAGACTTCAAGTCCGCGTCTCTCACGCACTCTGTTACCTCATGGCCATCGCTTGTGGGTGATGAATGCTAGCGTTCACAGAACAGCGTGCTGATGCTTTTTTTTCCTGCCATTGTATGTAACATGTTTTCTAATTCTTTTGCTCTATTCAGCATTTGACCCCAACGATAGGGGATTATGGTATTAACTCTCTACCCAGCACACATTCTTTACAGACTCTCACTAAATACTGTAAGCCTGCTGCAGAGAGGAATAAAAGTGAAAGCATACCGTCTGGTCTTAAGCTGAGCACACAGAGGGTCGTGATCCAATTGGAAGGGAAGCAGAATTTTTAAAAAGAAAGAGGTTTGACCAAATTTTAATCCTTGTCATTTTCATTTCTCTTACCCTGTGGATTTGGGTGATTTTATTTACACTGTCAGCTTGAGCCCAGGGATTGGAAATCAGGCTTTTATGGAGATTATTAAAAGTACATAGAGTACACTAAAGGTTGGGCTAACTGATATATGCTGCTAAAAATATGAATGTGAATGCCCTGGTATTAGATGCCACTGGCGTACATTTCATCCTCCTTAGAAGGTTATTCTTGGGAGTCCGACCTGCTACAATGGTAATGAGATGCAGGCTGTCAGGATATTTCTAATAGGTAGCAAATGACCAGGGATGAAGGTGAATTAGCATTACTCAGATGAGAAGGTAGCTCTTTATACCATTAATTCCAATGCAAAGTAATTCTGCCATCCTTCTCCTAAAAGAGAGGGCATTGTAAAGTAGGGGGGCAGGAGGAGGGCAGGGTTAAAGCTTGAAGGATTTATCGATGGGTTGGATGGGCCACAATGTCACCCAAGTCTCTAGACTGGGTTTTGCTCGGCACGAACTCCTCAGATGCATCACTAGCGACTTTTAGTTAGGTAATACCAGAGAGGCCTAGATCATGAAGAGAAAGCTCTAGAACTCAGTCACAGTCTTTAAGCTCTCAAGAGGTAAAAACAAAGTGGCTTACCCCATCTCAAAATACTGGAAGCATTCAATGCTTCAGTCTTAGGTCAAAATGGTGAGCAGGCCTGCTGCTCCAGCACCAAGTCCGTGGCTGGAGGGTATTTGAAAATGGTATTACAATGCTCCAGGGTTCAAGAAAGTCCAGTTCATGTGAGATGATACAGTATACAAGAATGATGATGAGAGAGAGGCCATAAGAAGTCTTCCTGAGAAAATTCATAACGGCAAGATGTTTCGCGTAAAGAGAGCATTGGATCTGACCAGGAGGCAGCAGATTTTGCCTACAGAGCAGTGGACAAAATATAAGAAGGGTAAAATCTATCTCGAACCGCATCTGAAGGAAGTTACTTGGGAAAGAGAGAGAAGAATGGGCAAAGAAAGAATCCTGGAATTGAAATCTGTGGTTGCGGCTGCCTTGAAATATTTTGGAGAAGCTGGCTAAACCGGAAATGTACAATTTAGAACTACTTGAGCTGCAAACGTATTACTTTAGATAAATGTCTATTGTAATGATAAAAGAAAATACTAGAAGCATTCATGCTTCAGTGAGGCAGGTTTAGGATCTCAAAGACATGGAAATAACTCGTTCACAAAGTAGCTGCCTATGGGGGACTTGTGTCCTTGCAAGGTTATAGATTATGATAATCTAAATAGGCTTAAGAAGGTTTTAGAGAACTGCATGGGTCGCAGCTCTACGATGGATCACCAGGAGAAAATGGGGTATTTGAGGCACTTATTTCCAATCAAGGGGACCGACGGTATCCTGCTGCCTGCTGCATAGCCTCCTTAGGTGCCACTGATGGAATGAGAGTCACTGCCATGCTGAATCTCTCAAGTGTGCCCCACACATAAAAACGAGGAGAAGGGCAGATGGCAGGAAGCAACTAACCAAGTGTTTATTTCACTTGGAGCTCTCAGTTTAAGGACTGAGGTTCGTAAGTCTCTGTTGTGTCCTCGATGCCTATGTATAAATGAAAATGTGCTATCCTGCCATAGAAAAAGGTGCTATCCAAAAAATGTGCTATCGAGGGGTGCCTGGGTGGCTCAACCAGTTAGGCCTCCAACTCTGGATTTCGGCTCAGGTCACGATCTCACGTTTTGTGAGTTCGAGCCCCACACTGGGCTCTGCACTGACAGCTCAGGGCCTGCTCGGGATTCTCTCTCTCTCTCTCCCTCTATCTCTCTCAAAATAAATAAATAAACTTAAAAAAAAAAATACTAGCTGACCAGGGAAAGAAAAGTTTCTGATTTGTAGTCATTGCCAGTTTCCGTAGAACACACACTCTCTGATTGCACGCCACCAGCGCTTTAACGACTGGCTTGCAAACTTCCTAAAGATTTAACAATCAGCACCAGCAGGAGCCGGATCCGGCAGCCCACGGAGAAGACGCTTGTCCACAGGGAGCCTGCAGACTAGCTTGGCAGGTGGGCCGGTCCTCCAGTGCCTTCCCCGTTTAAAACCTTAGCTCTGAACCACTTGCCCCTCTTCACTTATATTCTACATCCTGACGAGGCCTCAGATCTATTTGTTTTCCTTTTCAGAGCCTTACCCACTCTCCCCGAAACCAGCCACCCTCTGACTAAAATGGTGATTTCCTTCCTAAACTTTGATCCCAGTTCCTGGTCTGGTGGTACTGCGTTCGTGCACACTGAGGAAACGTCACCTGGTCTGGACTGCCACCTCGACCTCTCTATGTCAGCGTGTCCTCATCCGTCGAGAGCGGCTCTCCCTCCAGGTGCGCCACAGCCCACAGGTACGCTACCCGGTAGGGTCTGAGGATATCAGTCAACTGCCACCAGAAAGAAGTAAAATATGCCCTTGAATGTGATGTCAGTAGAAACTGCCATGACCCCGGCCAGAGCCACCCCAACCCTCCTTCACTGACTGCCTTTTTAAAACGTGGACGTCTATGTTAGGGTACGTATATGTCTTTTTCAAACCAGATTTCACGTATTTTATTCACTGGATTTGCACAACAACTCCCCAAGTCAGAAAGGATAAACGTGAGTTCTCTCTCTGATACAACAGCACTAGTAAGATAAAGACAAGTCAAGGAATTTGGCCCATGTTACACAGCAAGTAAATTCTGAAGCTTTCTGCAGGGCAACTCTCCCGGTCAGTGTGTTATCTGTTACCTATGGTCTCTTGGGCTAGGGTCCTCTGGAGAGTGGGATCCAGCCCACGTGGTCATTCTTTATGGAAATTAATGAATAATTCTGACGGTAGGATGATACCTTTGACGATGATGATAAGAGTGATTTATGTTTTTCATCTCCAAGTATAGAAGTGAATTTCATTTTCCTGATTTTCATATCTGCATGCCTTCACACTAATTGTTTCCTCTACGTAGAGTGCCTTCCACCTGTCCTACTTGCCTAGGAAATTCCCCTTCATCCCTTAGCACCTGATACGTAAGTCACCTCTGTCAGATCTGCACCTCTCAGTGCCCCACCCCACCTCCAAACAGAATTGACTGCGTCGTATGTTAACGGTGTTAGACTTAGGATATAATTCTTGATGTCATTCTTTGTTTATTTAGATGTTTCTCCCACCAGATTACGGACAAGACCAGGAACAGTGTTTCCTTCCTTTTTGCCTTCCAGTCCCTGCCATGGTGCCTGGCAAGTTACAGATACTCAAAAAGCATTTTTGTGAACAATGACGAAGATGGGAATGACGACGACGGGGTAGGAGGAGCATTTCACTCCCTTCCAGAGAAACAAAGAGCTTTTCCACCTTTCACAACCGGTTTTCAGTTTAGAACAGCATCTTAGTTAAGGTAATCAGTGCAGGCTGCTATAAAATACAATTTCCAAATATGAATACTACAACCCAATACAAGGCTATTACTTACTCGTGAACATCTGGTGCATGCTGGGATCCCTCCATTGTGTGGCTTTTCCCATCTTGGAGTCCTTTGCTTCCAGCTATTCAGATGAAAAAAAAAAAAAAAAAAGTAAAGAAGACATATCAGGTTTTAATACAAGTGGCCTGGAAGCAACAGTCATCTGCTCATATTCCATTGGCCAGAGCTCAGGAGCACATGGCCCATCTAACTTCAAGGCAGCCTGGGAGATGTAACCTTCCTTGTGTTCAAGAAGAAACTCAAAATGGTGAGCAGTGAAAGATTTTTTTTCCACAGTCTGCACTTCTGGACATCAAATATCTACTCTACTCTTCCTTTCACTCACAAAGCACACTCACCTCACCCTAATAAGGTCAATTCAAGGTCCCATCCAATCACCACCTCCATATTAAAAAGATAAGCTATCTGCTTGTCAGCTTCCCCACCGTCACAACCCATTTATAATGGTAGGAAAAGAACAACAAATTATCCATTTCAAGAGGGAAGTAATGGACAACATGTGACATTATGGTTCACAGCCATGCTAAAACCCTTCCGGGTCAGCACTGTGAAGTCCATACCCTCCAGACATGGGGGGTGTGGGGTTTGCCCTAGAAAGGACTCCCTTCTTTGTGCTTCTCCTTGGCCCCACGTGAGGTGAAATTGGGGGAACACCTTTCATTCTGAGCAGCGCCACTTTAAAAGCTTGACTTCTGCTCAGTGTGGCCTGGGCTGGGAACTCAAGAATTATTTTAAGCTTCGAACAAGGAAGGACTTTTCAGGTCCAGGGCTGTGGTGTCTTTGGTAATGCAATCCTCAAAAACTTAGAAGGTATGTGATATATTTGCTTCCAGTCAGGTCCATGTGCCAGGAATCACACCCAGAGTTATTTTCTAGACACTGTTATCAAATCCACCTTTTTTCTTTGACTCTTCTCCTCCATGTCTTTCTCTCTCTCAACATAATTACCTAAATACATTGAGGATCTCAGAAATAAGAGATGGGAACACCACACCCCTGATTTGATTTTTGCCTCAAATGACTCCGTTCAGTTGAGAACTTTTACTAGATATTTGTCACTTCAAGCCCTTTTTGGTACCGTGTCTTACTGTCTGAATCTAAAATAAATTCATTGTTTCCAACCCTAGAGCCCAAATTTCTGGATTCTGGATTCTACTTCCACTCGCAAACTCATGATGCTTTCCTGAACCATCTCTTCCTTGTAATACATATCTAGATTTCTTGTAATACTAAAAACAGTGCTGCAATTCTGTTTTTTAACCATGTCCCCTAAAGGTATAAACTGTGCATGTGACTGCCTTCTAATTAATATCTGGCAAAAGGTATACCAAATGATTTGTCACTGCATAACCTGAATTTCTGTCTTCCATTTTCTGGTATTAATTGCCTTTCTGCCTGTTGCTGAACTAGTAAACCAATGATGCATACAGGATAGGGGCACCCAAGAATATAGGGGCACCTGGGTCAGTCAGTCAGTTGAGCGTCAGACTCTGGATTTCAGTTCAGGTCATTTCACAGTTCGTGAGATCTAGCCCCACATCGGGCTCCGCACCAGGCATGGAGCCTGCTCTGCCCCTTTCTTCCACTCTCTCTCTCTCTTTCTCTCTCTCTCTCTCTGTAAAATAAAAAAATTAAATACGTAAAGTTAAAATAGTATAACGGTCAGGGAATATGATTTGGCTATGTCAATACCCCATTTCTGGTAGCAGTTTCCATATTAGAGCCATAAATACCCGTTATTATAACAACCATCTCAATGATCTCACACATAGGTTCATTTCTCCCTCAGGCCACTGTCAGTCCAACTCTAGCAGCTCTCCTTGGAGGCTCTCTTCCAGGTAGTGACTCAGGAACCCAAACTCCTTCCATTCTGTGGTGCTAGAATCTGAAACCAGTGGGGACTGAAAATAACGCGGAAGGGAAGTGAAGCTGGGCTATTGTTTAAGATATTTTGAAGGGGCAGGACTAGAAGTAGCTTGTATTCTTCTGTCTAATTTTTTTTTTTGGGGGGGTGGCCAGAACCCTGTCACATGACCCCAACCTAACAAGGAGGGAATAAAACGTTCCTGAGTGTGCAGGACCAGGAAATGGGATTGATGAGTTTATCGTTCTCCTTCCTGCATGATAATGTGTCATTATTTGAAACGTGTCATTGACTCCCTACTGATGATTGACCAAACTGAGAAGAGATTACTTGTCTTTTCTCCATCACCAACAAGAATCTTGGGCAACAGGACATCTTATTTTTATATTAAAAATAAAAACAATTTATTTTTTATTTTGAGAGAGAGAGAGAGAAGGTGCAAGTGAGTGAGGGGCAGAGAGAGAGAGAGAGAGAGAGAGAGAGAGAGAGAATCCCAGGAGGGGCAGAGAGAGAGAGAAAAGGAGAGAAAGAGAGAGAAGCGGGGCTCACTCGAAGTGGGGCTTGAGCTCACCAGATGTGGGACTCAAACTCACGAACCATGAAATCATGACCTGAGCTGAAGACAGATGCTTAACGACTGAGCCATCCTGGTGCCCCACAATTTATATTTTTAAAAAATTATATAAATTATATTAAAATTTTTTATATGAAAATAAAAAAGTTCAAAGCACTTTAAAATTATTTATGAAGAATTTAAGGCAAGTATAATTTTCTTCCCACTTAATAAACAATAGAAAATTAGAATAGTGAGAGGTTTCACAAGACCCACCGTGGATCATCCAACAAGCTACCAGAACTTTGGCTTTGAAAGATAACCTTCTCTGACCAAATCTGTATAACACAAGCAATTAGTGTGTAAAGTGGCCGTAAATGACAATTAGTCATGACCATGCATGACGGAGATGGCTTAGTCTAAGTGAACTGGTTATCGGCACTCGCTAATCACTCACCTGTCACCCAACTCTCCTCAAGCGTACCTCAGCCCACGGGGACAGAGGACCTGATCCACCAACAAGTAGTAATCAGTGTGGTAGTGTAGTGGAAAGAGCAGTTTTGAGTGAAACAGATCTAGGGTCCTGTGCAAGTAATTTGAACTTCTCTGAAACTCAGTTCCCTCATCTCTCATTTGTGAAATGGGGGATATGCTGTATACTATTGTGAGCATCTGAGATACACACACATACACACACACACACACAGCATGGATGACATTCAGACAATATGAGCTGGTAGTGGTATTCTCAATGGTCAGTGTTCATGCTGTACTAGGTACTGACTATTTTAACATCATCCCTGAGTGTACTGAATAAGTCTACACCTACCTACTTTATTTTTTTCTTTCTTTTTTTTTAACGTTTATTTATTTTTGAGACAGAGAGAGACAGAGCATGAACGGGGGAGGGTCAGAGAGAGAGGGAGACACAGAATCTGAAACAGGCTCCAGGCTCTGAGCAGTCAGCACAGAGCCCGATGCGGGGCTTGAACTCACGGACCACAAGATCATGACCTGAGCCGAAGTCGGCCACTTAACCGGCTGAGCCACCCAGGCGCCCCTACCTACTTATTTATTTAGGCCTACAACAGGCCTATCATTTTTTCTTGGCATTATGCAAGATACAAAGAAATGTAATTTAAGGCGTAGACCCGGTCTTCAACCCAGTCCCGAGGCCCACCATCTGAAGGTAACTAGAAATGTGGCAGGAACTCAGAGAGGGAATTCATGTGAGCATTGGCTGCACAAGTCAAAGAAGGTTCCACAGAGAAGGTGATTACATGAGTTTGGAGGATGCTGGAGGTTGGGGGACGCTTCTGCATAAAGCTTGGTAAAGTAGAGAACACCGAGGAGACCAGTCAGACAGGAGAGGAGAGCAACTAAAGAGAAATGAACTTTATCACCAGTGCTGCACATTCATGCGGAGTAAAATGGGTACTTGATTTTTATATCAAAAAGGGCACAATCCCCATCCCAAAGAGATCATTTCATTTCCAGAGGGTACTGACAGGAACACAGCCATAATGGATTCCAGTAATTGCAAACATTTGTACACAGAGGAAAATGTTAAAATGTATACCTTTTGCACGATTTTGAAAAGGTATGGTATATTGGGTGTTTTTCCAGTGCAACAATTCTTGTTTTCCTATTTCTCTTCCCAAACGTTCTCTTTTCAACTCCATACATGCTACTACAACAGAGACATGCCAAGTACCTGGGACAGGGGTCTAGCACATAGTAGGCACCCAAAGTATGTTTGTTAAATGTTAAGTTGTTTGGTAAAGTTCTGAAAAAGTTTTGCTTGGCAGAATTGCAGCTTTTCTGTAGTCTTCAAATCAGGCAAGGTGAGTGAGTAGAAGTTTACCTCCTTAAAAATGAGACAGTGAAGACTGCTGATCAACTCTTACATGGAGTTTATGCGAATGCACAAGGAAGGAAATTAGTAGATGCTTCGAATGATGATATCTAGTGACCAGAAAGGCAGACAGCCCAAGAAAAGCTCATCTTTGAAGGTTTCAACATAGTCATTGTCTAAGTGCCACTTTCCCAGGCTCAGCACACACTGGTGATGCACTTGAAGCTTTGATAGGTCCTTCAGCAAAGCATCTTCCTTCCCTAACGCTTTTCCTAAGTTCTACTTAATGACTGAATGACTTAAGATAACCAAGGTGGGTGATCTCCAACCCATATCTAACAGGTGTCATTTTTTCAGTTAAAGTGATACAATTTTCCCCCTTCCCTTAAACCATGATTCTTTATGGTTGCCACCATCAAATCAATGCTTCCTAGTTTTTAGGTGATGGGTAAATGCCAATAAGAAAAAGGAAGTCATTGCCCAGCATTTATCATCAAATTAGTATTTCTTTTTGTGTATGTGAGTGCTTAATAAAATGATAACCTTGCAAGCTAAGCTTTGAGAAAAAGGGACTTCTGAATTTCAAAAGTTCCCTTTACATGTGCAAAGCCATGCTTTGAGTAACAATATGGAATTTTACAGGAATAGAGAGTTTAGAATATGACATAAGAGGCATTCTTACCTGCTTGGGAGAAAATTGGAAGTTATTCTGGAGCAGGGAGGAGGAAGAAGTGGAAAACCCAACAACAACAACAGCAAAAAGGAATCTAGCCAGTTATGTATATCCCTGACCTCCCATGCTACCCACACTAGAAATTCCCCAGAGCAATAGGGCTTGTTCTTGCCTTCCCATGAACATACCAGAATTTCAATCCTGCTCTCCCCTCCCCCCCATGTCTGCCTTTGTATTGAAACCTCAGCAATATGGTACCACTGGCAGGTGGGTTAACCTGGCTGAGGGGGTTGTTTAGGTGCCCTGAAGTAGAGCTTCTGGCTTCCCAAGGCTTGTACTTGGTGTCCGTGGAATTCAGAAGTTCCATATGGTCCTGTGAGAGGCTACAGTGGTACTGAGATGCCAGAGGACATATAGGGATCTGTAGTTGGGACAAGACGGCCACAGAGTGCGAGGACTCCACCACCAGAAGCGAGTGGCCAGGACCAGGGGCAGGATTAAACACAAACCCCAAGAGACCAAATGGAGGAGCCCCTTCTTTGTGGCTACCAGCCCAGGGTACCCAGGGAACAGACCGGACCTGTCCTGCAGCAAAGACTAGCAAGGACTTAGAGGTAAGCCAACCCAAGCTTCTCTCCCCCACCCACCATGGCAGTGCTACGTAAGACTCCTTCCAAGCCAAAATGGTACCTATAGCTTGCAGGTGGGAGGGGAGTAGAGAAACCCTGAAAGACTGACATTTACCCCAAAAAAGACTATTGTTAAGTCCCGTCTGGTTCACCTCCACTTCCGCGCAAGAAAGGGACGAGGGATCCGAGCAACATGGTAAATTACATGCCAAAGCAACACCCTCTGTGCTTTTAACACAGCTGAGTGTAGGACACGTGATTTTTAACCCTGACTCTACTAACGATGCAACGTTGCTGGTCAAAACGCCCAGAAGCCCTCCCCATGCTTTAAGCGACGTCATGCAGGTGAATAGAAATACGTGTCACATCATCTACATCCTATAGTTTTGTAAGGCTTTCCCTGTAATGTTAAACCTAAAAAACTGTTCTGATAGTCCAACTGGAGGGAGAAGATGTAGTCACTGCATTTCCGCTTAAGAATTGTTATTTCCTTACCCTCAGGGGAGAGAACAGAGGCACGCTCGATCTTATTGCATTCCGCTGATATTTCATCATTGACACATTGGAGGTTTGTGGCAACTCCTCATAGAGCAAGTCTTTCGGTGCCATTTGTCCAACAATTTGCTCACTTCGCGTCTCGGTGTCACATTTTGGTAACCCTCACAATATTTCAAACCTTTTCATCATTACCTTTGTTATGATGATCTGTGCTCAGCGATCTTTGACATCACTATTGCAATTGTCCTGGGCTCCCGTGATCCATTCCCGGATAAGACAGCAAACTTAACAGACAAATGTTATTATGTCCTGACTACTCCACCCAGCAGCCGTTCCCCATCTCTCTCCTTCTCGTCAGGCCTCCCTAGTCCCAGAGCCACAACGGTATTGAAAGTAGGCCAACTAATAACCCTACGATGGCCTCCAACGTGTTCAAGTGAGAGGGAGAGGTGCACATCTCTCTCTTTAAATCAAAAGCTAGAAATGAGTAAGCTCAGTGGGGAAGGCATGTTGAAAGCTGAGATAGGCTGAGAGCTGGACCTCTTGCACCAGTTAGCTGAGTTGTGAATACAAAGGACAAGTTCTTGGAGGAAATGAAAAGTGCTGCTCCAGTGAACACATAAATGATAAGAAAGGGAAACAGCCTTATTGCTGATATGGAGAAAGTGTCAGCGGTCTGGATAGGAGATCAAACCAACCACAACATTCCGTTAAGCCAAACCCTAATCCAGAGCAAGGCCCATAACTCTGTTCAATTCTGTGCAGGCTGAGAGAGGTGAGGAAGCTGCACAAGGAAAGTCTGAAGCTAGCAGAGGTTGGCTCAAGAGGTTTAAGGAAAGAGGCCGGCTCCGCAAGATCAAAGTGCAACGTGAAGCAGCGGGTGCTGGTGTAGGTGCTGCAGTAAGTGAACCCGAAGATCCAGCTAACTCACTTAATGAAGGTGGTCACACTAACAACAGGTTTGCAATGTAGATTAAAACAGCCTTCTATTGGAAGACGATGCCATCTAGAACTTTCACAGCTAGAGAGAGAAGTCCATCCCTGGCTTCAAAGCTTCAAAGGACAGGCTGACTCTTTTGTTAGGGGCTCAGGCAGCTGGCAACTTTCTCTTAAAAACCAATGTTTTTTACCATTCTGAAAATCGTAGGGCACTTAAGAACAATGCCTGCTCTAGAAATGGAACAATAAAGCCTGGATGACAGCACATCTGTTTACGACATGGTTTACTGAATATTTGAAGCCCACTGTTGAGACCTACTGTCCAGAAAAAAGATTCCTATCAAGAGATTACTGCTCATTGACAATGCACCTTCTCACCCAAGAGCTCTGATGGAGATGTCCAGTGAGATTCATGTTGTTTCCATGCCTGCTAACACAACTTCCATTCTGCAGCCCATGGACCAAGGAGCAATTTCAATGTTTAAGTCTTATCATTTAAGAAATACATTTCATAAGGCTATAGCTACCACAGATCATGAGTCTCCTGACGAATTTGGACAAAGTAAATTGAAAATCTTCTGGAAAGGATTGACCAGTCCCGATGCCATTAAGAACATTCATGATTCATGGGAAGAGATCCAAATATCAAGATCAACAGAAGTTTGGGAGAAGGGATTCCAACCCTAATGGATGATGTGAAGGGGTTCAAGACTTCAGGGGAGAAAGTCACTGCAGACGTGGTGGAAGCAGCAAGGGAGCTAGAATGAGAGGTGGAGCCTGAAGATGGGGCTGAATTGCTATAATCCCGTGATAAAACTTTAAGGGATGAAGGGTGCTTCTTAAGAATGAGCATGAAAGGGTTTTTTGAGATGGAGTCCACTCCTAGTGAAAAGGCTGTAGAGATTGTTGAAATGACAACCAAGAGTTTGGAATATTACATAAACTTAGTTGATAAAGAAGCAGAAGGGGGGTGCCTGGGTGGCTCAGTTAGTTAAGCATCTGACTATTGATCTCAGCTTAGGTCTTGATCTCAGGGCCGTGAGTTCAAGCCCCGTGTTGGGTTCCCTGCTGGGCATGAAGTCTACTTAAAAAAAAAAAAAAATTGGAAGGGTTGCAGAGGATTGATTCCAAATTTGAAAGAAGTTCTCCTGAGGGTAAAATGCTATCAAACAACATTATGTGCTACAGGGAAGTCATTCATGAGAGGAAGAGTCAATCAAAGTGGCAAACTTCAGTGTTGTCTTATTTTGAGAAATTGCCACAGCCATCCCAGCCTTCAGCAAGCCATCATCACTGAGGCAAGACCCGCTATCAGCAAAGATTATGACTCACTGAAAACCCAGATGATGGTTTGTGTTTTTTCAGCAAGGAAGTCATTTTAAATTAAGGTATTTACATTGGGGTGTTTTTAGACATAACGCTATTGCACACTTAATAGACTACAACATAGCATAAATATAACTTTTATGGGTACTGGGAAACAAAAAAAAAAATTGACTCACTTTATTGAATTGTTTGCTTTATGGCGATGGTCTGGAACTGAGTCCACAGTATCTCCTAGACACATCTGTGACAAAAAAACATGAAGTCATACACGTGGTTGTGCTAGGAATCTCGATTTGTCAGTTAGAAAAATAACACATCAGAAAGTCACGGGAAAGACATTGTTTGCTACATGTTGTCGGAGACTTTGCATGCACTCTCTTATGTATCCCTGAAACCACCAGGTAAATCAGGTGTTATTCTCATATTATAGATGAGGACACTGATACTCTGATTAATAAATCAAGATTTACTTTTCCGAGGCCACCAAAGCTAGAAGGTACCAGAACTAGTAGTGGAACGCACCAACAGGACCTCGGTAGAACCCTCTCTGTTCCACTGGCTCGCCCAGGGTCTCACACTTTGCCCAGCGTTTCATACGGAGACCTGCCTGATGACGACACCCCTGCTGAACACAGCAGGCTGATGGCCTCCTGTCCCTTGGAAATGGACACCGCAATGTTTTATCAAAACTGCCAGCCTCGGAATTTATCTGGCGTAGCAAGAACCAGAAGCCCACGCTATCGCCCTCCTAAGTTAGGAGACTTTTTCTTTTTCCTTCAGGTTCCCTATTTTGATGGTAGATGAAAAGAATTATTTCCTTTTTCTCTCTGATGGCCGCTCTTGCGTCCGTTCCAATTAGTGTGTTCCATTCTTTGAAGACAAGCCCAAGTTGCTTTTCTGATCCCTCAGCTTCTCAGGCTCCTGTCTTGACAAATCAGAAGGACCATTGTCTTGACAAATCAGAAGCAGGAGCGGGGAGCTGATTAGCTGGGCTGCTCAGCCTCCCCCAGGTGCCTTCTGATACCTACCTGTTCCCTTCGATGCTGGACATTTCACAAGAAGCGTGCACAAACCAGAAAGTGAGGTGCCAGGACGACCTGCAACACCGACCTACAGGAGCATTTGAGGGGAGCAGGCAGGTCTTCAGAAGCTACTTAGAAAAATGCTTTCTAGTATGCAGGCATCGCATCCTGTGGAGCCTGAAGCATGCGGCAAGACAATTATGGTGGGCTTTCTGAAGTCGTGGAAGAGACTAAAAATGGCCAATCCCTCAGGACATAAGGAAATATAGGCATCGAGCCAGTGGAAACCATGAAGTAAGCCAGAAAGAAATGAAAGCTTTTCTGCTTTTCCTTACTATTCCTTTCTACATTAAAAGCCAATTTTACTAGCATTTTGTCAGCCAGAGTCCTTTGCAGACAAATACCTCCAAATTCCCAGACCAGTGACAATGGAGATCCATAAAGATGTTTTAAAGACTGTCACCTGAAATGCCTTTGTGCATCATTGATACAAATTAAATAGCGTCTGGCATTTTTTTGAATGATTGAGTAACACTACTTACTTTATGAAAACGGGTAATTCATATTTAGAATGTTTAGAACGTTTAGTTAACCAGAGTACTTGACTTACGGGACACCTTGGCAACTGAATGAGCTAAGAATCGACCAGCTGGTATCATGAAAACCCACGTGCTTCAGAATTAGAAGGACGAGGTTGCCTCCCAACTGTGATCATTTATTAACTGCGTGACCTTCAAGTCCTTTGAACTCTCTGCACCTTACTTTTCTCATTTACGAATGAGGGTAATGTTATCTTCCTTTCCAGTTGTTAACGCTTCTATGAGACAGACATGTGCACGTGCCCAACACATACCTGCCCACAAGAGAAACTTAACGAAGACACCTGCAATTTTTTTAAAAACGTTCTAAGTTTATTTATGTATTTTGAGAGACAGAGAGACAGCATGAGTGGGGTGGGCAGAGAGAGAGAGAGAGAGAGAGAGAGAGAGAGAGAGAATCCCAGGCAGGCTTTGCACGGCCAGCACAGAGCCTGATGTGGAGCTCGAACCCACAAAGCGGTGAGATCATGACCTGAGCTGAAACCAAGACGCTTAACCAGCTGAGTTCACCCACGGTGCCCCAATACACCTGCAATTCTTACGATGATGATATGTTTAATACTGCTGGTATTAGCGATTTCAAATCTAATTCTTCCCTTGTTCTACCAGCCTCTGTCCACCCTTCCATTTTGGCATTACATACCTCCCCTGGACCTGAGAGTCTTCCCAAAGTCTATGGTTGGCCCCTCCCTTTCTCATGCAAACAATGAAGAGTTGTTTGGGCATATCTGAGACTCTCCCTGGGCCGAGTTCTCCCCTCCACAGAGACACCGCCCTCTGCCCTCGTCTTAGTTTCCCCCATCATTTCCTCTTTCTCTGGGCCAGACCTGGATAAACTTGTGGTTTCCTTCCTTCAAGCTCTCTGGAGAGCTGAGTACTGCACACTTGAAAGCCTAAAAACTTGTCATTTCCACCTTGAACCAGTGGCTGACCTAGCCAGACAGCCTGGGAAATGAATTAGTGTCCTTAAGCAGAGGCAGAATGTGAGCAGTGACCCAGCTCCCCTAAGCAACTATGGAAACTGTCAAGCGGTAGTTAAAGTTCCCTTTTTCCCAACCCCTTTAATTATGTTGAAAACTATGTCATATTGTTTTTGAAAAAGTTAATGAAATAGTAGGTAAAGGTGAACCAAGGAACATAATTTACTTGGATTTCCTTGCAAGCTTTTGATAAGGTCCCTCATAAAAGGCTATTAAGGAAAATAGATGACCAGAGGGCTATGGGCAAAAAGTCTTTTTGGTGTATTAAAAACTGGTTAAGCTATTTTAGAAGGAAGAATCACTGACACTGGCTACTTCTTGGAGTGGAGAGAGGTTAATCACAAGCTGTCCCCAGTGTTAGTATTTGGACTTAAAGTGTTAGAACAATTTATAAAGGAAAAGAAAGCAAAGTTAATCAAAGACACAAAATGATTAGCGTGGTATGAGCTTTCCAGAGTGCTTGGCATGAACGAAGTCTCCTTGTCCATCACCCGGGAAATACGGGCCCCGAGAGGGAACTGGGCATGGCCCGGAAAAGGAAACTTCCAAGGATGGGGACTAAGTTCTGAAAACCCTTGAGAGAAAGACTCACCAAAAAAAAAAAAAAAAAAAAAAAAAAAAAAAAATGCTTTCCATTTGGTGGCCCAAGCGCCGCGGGGTCTGAGACTGGAGGGAAGGGCGTAACAACCTTGCGAGCGTCCTTCCCACCCTCCCAGCAGATGGTGGTTTAAGGCCATGAAAAATCAGAAATGAGAGGCATGGGTGGAAAGCATTTAAGCAGTATGAAGACACCATTTTGCATGCTTTTCATTCCAAAGTTGTAAAAGAATCATTCTATTGGTGAAGGAGAGCCAAAGAATGTAACCGGGAATAAGGCTCCCCTGGGTAACTGTTGTATGTGACAAGACACAGCGAAGACGTGTTTACCACCGACGCTCGGGGGTGACGGGAAGAGCTTCATTTCTGCAAAAGAAGACAGACCTTCCTTTAAAGTGCTTGTAATTAACCATACGCTTCTCCTCACAGTTAGCCCCAGTGCTGTTCCCCACCCCCCCCCCCCAAATATTTTCACTGTAAAACAGGGCAGAAGGAGTTACACAAATATGTGGATGCTGAGGAGGCAAAGCCCACTCTTCTCCCAGCCACGGCCCTCATTAATCTTTGTGACACTCTTTATTGAGTCTCACCTGTGTTTCTTCAGGATCACAAAGCCCCCCATGCCAAAGTCACACAGCAATCCGTGGCAAAGTTAACTCTAATCTTGGTTGGCCAAGCTTCTTTTCTTTTGCCTAGTCAAGCCGTAACTCTAGTTGATATATAGGGTGCTGTTTGCATGGCAGGAATGCCTTTATTTTGAGAGGGACAGAGAGAGTGCATGAAACAATATACTGGACATAAAAATACTCCTCTCGAAGAATCCAGCAATAGACCCATACAAATATAGTCAACCAACTTTTGACCAAGGTGCAAAGACAACTCAATAGAGAAAGGATGCCTTTTCAGACAAATGGTTCTGGAACAATGGATACTGGAGACAATATTTTTTATACTAAAAAAAAAAAAAGAAGAAAAACCCCCAATACATGCCATATACAAAGATGAGCAAGAATAGATCATAAATGCAAATGTAATTGTAAAATTATAAATTTCTAGAAGAAAATCAAGGAGAAAATCTTTGCAACATTTGGGTTAGACAAAAAGTTCTTAGATCCAACAGCAAAAAAGAAAAAAAAAATGGATAAAATGGGACTTGATAAAAATTCAAAGCCTCGAGACCTGAGTCATAAGCAGGAACTGAAACAAAAAGCAAACCTTTCATTTTTCCAACGAGACTTAGCGACATAAAACCTTTCTCAGGAGCATAAGACTCGGAGTGAGCAACCAAATTGAAAAATGGCAGCACCTCAGCTAACTTTTCCCCAAAATGGGTCAGGTAGAAATTAATGGCTCTTTCCTCTGCTTTCCTAGCAATTTGTGTGCTTTTATAGTACTTAACACGCTCTATTGTCGTTAATTGTCATGGACTCATCCCATCTCAGGCACAGATGTCCTCACTGAATTGTGAGCTCCTCGGGGGCAGGGCCAAGTATTATTATATCTGTGCACTCTCAGAACCTAGCAGAGGACTGATACAGAATGTGCAGTCAATAGATGTTTGAAGAATAAAAGAAAGGAGGAGGGGGCGGGGGAAAGCAAGAAAGTGCGAGAAAGGCATTGTGAGAAGAGAGAAAGGGAAGGAAGGAAGGAAGGAAACGGGGGAGGGAGGGAGGGGGGGAGGGAGGAAGTGGGGGGAGGAAAAAAGAAAACTATGCCTGGGGTGGAGGAAACCGGGACCCACAGGGTCTGCTAGGAGACAGGGCAGTGTTTGGTGTGTGGGAAGGGGCAGCCGTGGGCCAGCAGGATCTTCTGGAGCCCTGTAACCCACATCAGCCCACGGTTGCGTGGCCAGGCCACTCTCTCTGAAATCACCACCACCCTTTGTCCCTGACGCTGCAGCCCCGAAGACGTCAGGAGCCATTGTGTGGTTCAGCGCAGGGCCAACCACCGCCGAGGCAGGAGGAGGGAGGCTGAGGCTGCTGGCTAGTGCTGCTGGGTCTGCTCCCTCCGCTCCCCGGCCACAGGCCTGGGTGTCAGAGCCAG